TTGGTATTTAAATTATATAAATCGATGAGATCTTGTAGAATTACGATGTGTATCTATACATGACATCAATTAATATACAAGTTAAAAAAAAGGAAAATTTTTTTTGATGTAGTGGTGTTGCCTTTATGAGTTCGTTGATTCGAAAATTACAATTTTGTATTATGGCAGTTTTATAGTATTTTGGTGAATACGGACGTTAAATAACGTTTGTTTAAAGAAATTGATGATTAATGCTATTATTTATTTGATTACATAAAAATTGTTGAAAGAACATAAAATGCTAATATAATTACCGCTATAGAAAAAGAAAAAAAGTTTTCAAACACTTTAAAAAAAATTAATGAAATAAATTATAATATAAATTTATATGTATATAAATTTTTCCATTTGTTAACTAAGGTTTAAATATTTTAAATTCGTTACTTTTTTTGAAAATAAAGTTTAAATAAATTAAATTCGGTCCTTTATATCATGCTACCATACAAATCCCATCCCAGTTGGTTAATAAATACTATGTGACTGTGATCCCAAAGAATGTCAGCATGGAAATTCTACAATTCCATAAATAAACCGTCAGTAATAAAAAAATTTTTTACAATTGTCAGTACGAGGGATATATACTGGAGCAATAACCATCCTCTCAAGGCGTAAATTAATAACTAAATTGATAATTCAGTGTCCATTCCCACGAATACAATTTCGCATAACTGTTTAACTAGAGAATTTGGAAACTATACTATAATCATCGACCCGTCTTACTTTATAGATGGTAGCGCGAAAAATACTTCATTGACGCCGATGAACGATACTGTAGCAACTCCCATAATATCAATACTACCCACAGTAAATGCAATAAATATGACCTGGAAAAACCCTCACTGTTTAATTATTTAAAATATATTGTAATATATTGTGTATAACATACGACTATTGTTTAGATACTTAATATATATAATGTATATATTATTTTTTTGGTGAATGTCTCTTGCCCATAAAGGGGTGCGTAGCTTTACATAATTTTTAATAGATAATTATAAGGACGACCGTAACAATATTGATTAGTTGGAACCAAATAATAATAATAATAAATAATATGATTATTGGGGGAAACTATATTTTTTTTCGATGATGTAAATTTTTCGATTATTATTAAATTACATTATAAAATTCTTAAATTATTATGGAATTATAAAAAATTTTAATTGAAAATAATTATTGTAGTTAAATTTAGATATTAAGATAGTAAGAAGTGTTATATACGGGAGTGATAGTGATTAATCATTTTTAATGAATATCTGGCAGTACATTTTTTTTAATTTCATAGCCTTTTTATGCAGCTATAAGCCATTTGATTTGGCATATTTCCAAATTTTCCAAGATCAATTTTATAATTGCTCTATTCACTTGATATGCAGTCCTTGAAAATAGCTAGTCAAAATGGATGCAATGGCATTCCCTATTTCAATTGGATATTGTTAGTTTTTGAATTAAAAATATACAATTGCATTAATATACTACCATTTTGTTTATAAAATATTTAATGATAAAATACAATCAAATTTTTTGGAAGGGGTACGCCGTGCTCCCTATTTTTTTGAAAATTTTGGCGGGAGCACGCTTAACTTTTTTTGAATCGGCGGGGGCACAACCGGACTTTATCTCATATAATACAAATTGTATATGCAGTCCTTATAAATATTTTCAATGGCACTAGGAAGGGGAGTATTGAATAATTTTTCTCCATATATAACAAATAATTTTTATTTCTAGCAATCATGGACTGATTAGATTTTCAAAAGGCCAAGCTAAGGGTTTCAAAATAAAGTGATTAATCAAATGTTCATAATTTTCAGATGAATGTTTTTACCAAATTTAAAATGATTTATGGTCTAACTAAAAAATCTGATATCACAGATTCATTTATTTATGGAGTACCTTTTTGCAGGGATTCAAACCTAACCTGAACCGGTATTATGACCTATACACAAACCGTTAAAACATTTTAAAATCTGAACCGAACCTCTACTGTGAACCGTTTTAAACTTTTTGATATTTTAACACCTTTAAAGATGATTATTAATCAGTTAATACTGATAAGCATAAGCAATTAATTTCAGATGTATTTTTGTTATTTTATGGTGCTGCTACCCAACTTGGCATAAATATATTCTCAGCCCTAAAATTTATTCTTCCTTCTTATAGATATAATTTGACAGAAGAGAATCTTGAAAATATTTCAATCAGGGACTAGGAACGGAACGTTTCATTCCGCGAGAAAAACTTTGAGTAAATTTATTTAACGGGAACGGAACGCATATTCCGAAATCTTCCTGAAATAATACATGAATTTCTTAGTTATTTCTATAATTAAAAAAATATTTTTTAATCCATTAACAGGTGCATATATTAAGTTCTTTTTATTTTCTAAATCCTAACAAATGATACACAATTAATTTTTTCTCTGATGAAAATTGGAAAACTGTAGAAAAATGGTGGCCTCATTAGAGCTGTTAAAGGAAGACTTAATGTTCCAAAAAAGTAGCATTTTTCCAGGTGACTTTATTGGCCAATGGACCAAATATAAAATAAGGCTTCAAAAAATTAATTCCATGTCATCACAAGACTTGATTTAAGCTTTCAACATAAGGAAATAAATTAATTACTTTGTTCTGCCTTAATCTAGACCCTAGGTATAAATCTCCTTTAGACGAAGAGGAAAATAATATAGCTATAAATCATTTATTGGCGATATAGGAACATATTAAAAATTTTAAGGATGAGGATTAATATAATAAGTAATTCGGATAAATCTTCTGATGAAGGACAAGAATATGATGAATTAGAAATGTTTCTAAGGTTCCAAGATAAAAAAGAAAAACATAGCAAAACTTACAAAGGATGATGTTCTATCATCTATAAAACTATTTCGAGCGGATGTGTAGATAAATCAAAAGATTTGCTAGAATACTAGGAATCCAATAAAATAAAAAATTCAATCCTGTATGAATTGGCCCAAACCGTATTAGCAATACCATGCAGTCAGATAAGTGTTGAACGGTGGTTTTCGACATTCAAATTTATACCACCACAAAGAACCATTATAAATGATAATCTTTTAGAAAATATATTATTACTTCGATGTAATGATTGGTACATTTGATGATTAATTAAAGTGTGTAGCTTTAAAAAATATATTTTTATAGGAAAGTTCCGAAAGGTGGAAAGGAACACTTTTTCGCCTGGAACTGGAACGCGAAAATGCCCTCGTTCTGGGCCCCTGATTTTTATTGTATATGCTCTATATAAATTTTTTAAATATTGACAAACTTTATATATATCTAATACGTATGCGAAAAGTATTGCACCGGTTTTTAAAGGGCTTTTTCACCCAACCAATTATTTTTTGCAAACCAAAACTGAACAGTAATTTTTATCTGAACTTAAACAGATATTAGTTACGGTTTGGATACCTGCTTTTATGTTTCACTTTCAATTTTATTTGAAACCTCTTTAACATATATACCCAAATTATCTTTAAAATACAATATCTTTGGAGTATATAATTTGTTAGTTTAAATATGGTAATTGTTCTATACTGTAATACCTTTGGCAAAAGCAAATAGCTTTTACTGCTCTCAAGCTACATGCCCAAGATAAATTTAATGATAAATGTGATAACCGACACTTTTGTTATTTAAAAAAAATTAGTTAAAATATTACCTGATTTTCAAAAAATATTTATAGGGGGGGGGGGGGTATATTAACCTAACCCCCTTGCCTTAATGACATAAAACCTAGGCAGGCGATTCATTTAGATGTATCAGTAAAACAAACTGGTGGCAGGCTTTTTGGTTTCCGATGCAAACAATTTACGTTAAAATTTTAGGATAACTAAGAAAAATTTTATATGGGAAACCAAAATGGGTACATCATCTAATCTGTATTCAACGACGCTTCAAAATGCATTTTAATAAATAATAGTTAGTCTTAGTAAGTATTGTCATTGCCTTGGTCGAGAATATTATAGTTTGAATAATATTTAAAAAAATTAAGAGTGGCGTCTGGATAGGGATTATTCATCTATATCCTAAATTTAATTCAGCATATCAAATAAAAAATACAATTTTTAACACGTTTAAAAGTGATTTAGAGTCTCAGAAATCTTATAAATTTACAATGTTTCTAGTTTTTCCATTTTAATTTTCTAGTTTTATCGGCCAAGTTATATTTTTTTGTGGACCATAAAAATCAGATACTTTTTTTTATAATTCAAAATACTTTTGAAATTATTATTTTTGCACATAAAATAAATGGTTCAAACCGAACGTTCTAAGATAACGTTATTGGGTAGAGTTTATGGGAAATCAGCTGTCTAACTATGCTTAACCTTCGAAGATATTTCTGGATTAATCTTTAAACTTCGGTTAAGCCATCTTTTGAAAGAGAACAACCGAAACAAATTTAGGAAACGGAATGAATTTTTTAAATTTCTAGGAAGCGGCTCTAACAAAAGCGCAATTAATTTATATTATTCAAAAATATTGTGTAAAAGTTAAATATTTTGATAATTTTTTTAAATGAGTAATTAACAGTTTGGAACCGGAACCACATTAAATCTAAGAACGGATCTAATTTTAAAAATTTGGAGGAATGGCTACATTATCGTTTTTTATTATTGAGGAACTTAATTTTGTCTAGAATGTCCGAATTACTAAAAATATGATGTAAATTTATAATATAAATTATCAAACAATAAAAAAAATACACGAAAGATGAAAAACTAATAAATATTTTTATTTTATTATATATAATAATAATAATAATAATAAACAATTTGATATAAGTTGTTGATGAACTAAATATTACAAATTAAAACAATAAATAATATAAGATAATAATTAGCCAGGGGAAAAAATATATATATAAATCAAGAATATCCTTATTAATATTAGAAAATTAAATAGAATAAATGCTAAAATTGAAAATGGTGTTGATTCGGACATGTCTAAAATTTACTATTTTCCGAGTAAAAAAGTTTTTTTGAGCATGCGTTAATGTATAATAAAAAAATAACGCTACTGCTGAATAAATGAGACTAAAAAATATCTCTTTAAAATCATTAGTAATTTATTTGGAATTAAGCATTTTGTAAATCTTAATGCATTATAGGGGTTTTTGTTTTTTATATAAATTATAAAAATGTGCGTTTCATTAAAAAAATTATAGTTGAGCTTGTGAGGAATTATTTAAATTAGAAAAAATGGTACCAAAAGTTTAAATAGAAATAAATCATTAAAAATATTTATCGCAGTAAAAGCCAACATAAAAAATGAGCAAAATATATAAAGGTAACACTGGGCTGGGGGCAGGTTTAAAATGCGATTTAAAAAATTTAATAAAGTGAATATATAATATAAAATTGAAGCAAGTTTTCGAATTATATGATATAATTATATTTTTATAAAAGATCATTTTGACTAAAATATTTAATAAATGAGGATAAAATTTTTTGCAATATGTTTATAAACTTTCCTAACTTACTATTAAACTAAAAAAAGGCTATCATTTTGACAGACTAAATAAAATATGAAAAATGGATATTTATCACAATATCTTTAAAGGAAAAAAACTGCACCATATTTATAATCGTCATATGGTTTTATATTAAAAACCTCTCTGCCTAACGATTAAATATGGCTTGAGCGGGGTACTTATGAGTGTTTTGTAATTGATTCCCAAGGATGAGTCAGAGTTATCCATACTACTATTTGCTTTTTCTTGATTGAATTCTTTATCGCCCTCAACCAAACTGAACTCAAAATTAACTAAAAGCGTAGATACAAGCGTTTTTATCTGTATATAGGCAAATGCCTCCCCCACACACCTATGCCGCCCAGCTCCGAATGGAAAATAAGAGAACTTTCTATCATTCTTAGTATCATTAATATCCTTTACCGACTTGATCATATTCTTAACAGTGTCATTAATTAATGTAGTGTCATCGGGAATGTTTGTATCAGTCTTGCATGCCAATAATTTATTGATTTGCTTATGGAAAGGGCATTTTGAAATATCCTTACCCTTAAATCTATCGTCCTTTAAAGCTTGTTCAAGGTTTTCTTTAATATTATTTAACCCATTATCAAATTTTTCTATATCGGCATTCGAACTTAAATAATTGTTGATTTCATTCGCTGTTAATGGTGGTTCCTCATCACTTGAGCCGACAACGGATAGCGAGTTAATATATCTAGTTTTAAAATAAATATATATTTCATGTTATTCAAATATCATAAAATTTTATTCAAAATCGGAACCAGACTAATTTATATTGATTCATCATATTTAATTTTTTTAAATTATCTACATCACTCAAGTTTAGAATCGAGACAGGTTCAAATATAAGAGCCGAAATCTCTCAAATTTTTGGTGAGAATCTAAATCTTTGAAAAACACAGAACCTTAATCAGAATTCTTCTTAGCCTCCAGTTTAAAGTTCCATAATGGAGTATGAAATTTAATGTTTTTTTTATATTATGTAAATTCTTATAATAATTTTTGGATAGTATATTGGATATTTTTATATGCATGACGATAATGGTATAATTTTACTTTTGTCTAATTAATATTTATACACTGGCAGAAGATGTTTTAGAAAATAGGTGTGAGTCATATATAACCTCAAATTCGAGAATATATAATCTAAAATGATATCTGTAGGAGAGGACACAATCCTATATGGAGTAATATATTATGGGCTCTCTCTTCATTTTAAACAAAAGAAAATTAAACAATCGAATTTTAAAAAATAAATGAATTGTAGCTTAAATAAGAATCTAGATCCTTGACATTTTTCTTCACCAGTACTATAAATTAATATAGAAAGTTAAGCAACTTAAAAGTTGTAAGAAGAAATAAATATTTAAAATTTTTTTATTTAGTAGCCTTAATATAAAATAATGGATATTTTTTAAAAATAAATTTAATAGAGGCGATAAATTTAATACTATGATGAAAAATAAATAGATGAAGTTTACGAGGATATCTAGAAAGTAGCAAAGAAAATGTAGGGAAGAAAAAAAGATAATGTTGAAGAAAGTATGGGAGATTTTTCAATGGAAGAGATAAAGCAAGTCTATGTGTCGTAAGAAGTGAGATTCTTTGGGTAGATCGGTCTAATTCTCTAAAAAAAACTTTAAGCTTTGCTTCCAAGGATGTTAGAGTAGAGCCGGCAATGGGCCTGAATTTGTAAGATGGGTCAATGATGTCACTTTAAAATACCTAATAGTTTTTTGAATTTTGAAAGTCAATAAACATGAAGGTTGTAACAAGAAAAGTAATTTTTTTTATTTATTGAATTAATTTTTGTAAGTAAATATAATTTGATATAGAAAGTTAAGCAACTTAAAGGTTGGAACAATAAAGATACTTACGTTTAAGGACTCAAATTAAAAAAAAAAATTTTTTAATTACAAATTAACAACTTTTATGATAAAATTATTTTTTATTATAAATTTCATTTGATGATATATATAAAATTTAACCCCATTCTTTCTAAAAAAATGAATGGTCCACTATTAAAAAAATTCTACATCCCTATTAATAATATCCATAAAAACATGCATTTAACATTCTATAATTTTTGAAACTGAAACCTAATAAGTGATATTATTTATTTTATAAAGAAGAAAAAACTTTGAACTGGTAAATTTTCCAAAACCAAAACCGTTATAAGGGTTTTGTGAATCCTGTTGAAAATTAAAAATATATTTTAGCACGATCAAATACCATTTTGTTCAGCGTATACTTTTAAATATTACCTATTAGGGTCAAAATGTCCATTCTTAGAATGCCAGTAGGTTTTGAGTTGATGGGTGAAAGTCGGAGATACACAAACCTGATAACCGGAAGGTATAACATAGCATTTCATTTTGTTATCTTTTTAACAACAATAAAAATTTAAATATTGGTTAAATTTTAAAAAAAACTCGAATTAATATTAAATTATCATATGGTTATCACGACTTTTCTAAAAAAAATGGTGAGCGACTATTAAAATTTACACTAAAAACTATTTATTTTAAAATATATATAATTCGAATAAAGGATTATTATTATTATCGCGATCATATTATAACCTCCATAAAGTGTGGAGGTTTCACAGTACTTAAAAAAAATCGGTCTGGTCTGATATTTGACCTTGGCTATAAATTGCATTTATAATTTTTATTTGCTAAGTCAGTTTTTCTTTAAAAATTTACAAAAAATAAATAAATATGTTAACTTTGGGTAACGTTAATCGAGATATCCTTTTTGCATAGCCTCATTAGGGTCAACAGGGGAGGTCTTAGCCTGAGCGTTTCCTTGAGGCACCTATCCAAAAGTTCTAACCTCTTGAGAGAGTCCAAATTAAGATCCAATTTTTTGATAGGATTGCGAGACTCTAATTTCATTAGTTAATTATAATTTATATATCATTTAAATTTCTGCGCTTTTCAAATGGACAATATTTTGGAATTTCAAAATTGGGTTTATGTAAATAAAAAACGTTTTTTCAGAAAAAACACAATTTGTTTTTTTCTGTTTAAATTTATTTTCTTATAATTTACCAATTTTATTGAAAATTTTTCATATCAACATAACCATTTAATTTAATTTACCATATTTTGTGGAAAATTTTAATATCACAATCATTTTATTAGTTTTTAAATGTTTAAAATTTTTGTTAAAATAATTTTTAAGCATGTTTATAAGTTCTGTTATATTTTCAAGGTTTTTATATCTGCATATTGCAAATTTTTCATATCAACACAATCATTTTTAAAATAGTTTGCCCATATTTTGTGGAAAATTTTATTATCACAATCATTTTATAGTTCGCTATTTTTTAATGAGAAAATAAATTATTTTATTAGTTTTTAAATGTTTAAAACTTTTGTTGAAATAATTTTTAAGCATGTTTTTAAGTTCTGTTTTTTTTTCAAGGTTTTTATCTGCAAATACTCTTTTTGTGTTTTTTAAACCAATACCACTAGTTTTATATATGAAATCTGAACATGAGAAAAAATAATGTATCCACACAAACCAAAAGTAATAAACAATTAAACTACGGGAATTGTCAGTTAATTTTTTTTTAAATCTCCTGGTACAAGTAATCTATCTTCAACAATACCAAATTATCATTAATTGTATTATTATATTAAATCGACACATATAGAGCGTCTGTTGACGTGATCCGTTGCAGGTATGGGATCTGAAACGCTTGTCCTGAGGGTAAGTAAGTTATGATGTTTAGGGTCGATCAACACCCATTTTTAATATATGATAACCCTATCCTGTAATACTGTAACCTTCCATCCTAACCAATCGAGGAAGATAATTTCAGAAGAAAAACGTCCCGTGCTTGGACTTGGCCACTGTGGTGTCGTGTTTCAGCCAAGGTATCTAAGCTATATAAGCACTCCAAAACAATATTTTGGTTTATTGGGACAATTTAAGATGGTATCAAATATTTAAACGATAACCATCCCCTCCTACCCCTCAAAAAAGAGTACTAATGTTTTACCTTTTCTAAATGCGACATTATTTTTAAAAATAAAATCGTTTTTTAAAATAGGCAAATAAAAGATAATAATTTTTCAAAAATTTATATAATGTATATAATATAATAAGATATTTGTTAACCTAAATTATAGAAAGTATGTAATCTTATAAACAAGGATGTAAACCCGAACCCGGACCCCTCCTGAACCCTTGTATTTTGGCTGAACCCGAACCCTTTTTAAAAGTGGAGGGTCCAAGGGTTCTAGGTGTCATAAAAATTTTGAAAAATAAAAATATTTTTTTAAAAAATAATATAAATTTTTTTAAATTTTATTAACATTTTTTGTATCATTTATTTTATCTTCGCGTTTTTCTTTCAATTTTCTTCTGGACTTCCATTTTATTTAGAGATTGATATCATTAGTGTAGGTAATAATATTTTATTATGTAAATTTAAATATACTATGATAGAAATATGTGGATTATTTTTAAAGTGAATTGTGTAATAATATTTTAATTTAAATGATAATGCACAACACGTTCGTCCTCAAATTATATGATGCTAGAAAGATTATTAAGTTTGAAAGATTTCTGTAATGATTTTATTATAGGAGCATGTGAAGTCATTTTGTAGAAAGATGATTGTTGTCAAATATAGGACCTTACTATTGTATTAGTTCCTTTAAAAATAACAATATTAAGATTACAATCAGAACAATTATGTTTATTTGATTTTTATGGCTTATGGATTAGATGCCGATTAGATTTAGAAAAATTTACAGTCCTTTATACGAAATATTAGAAAACATGAAAATTCGGGAGCAACAATATTTGCAAAATAGTGTTTATACACTTCTATATATTTACACCCTCGATATCAAATTTATTGAATATTGAGCAAAAATAAATGGTTAAAGACCATCTTAAGGATTTATGACATACTCAAAACTCCATTATTTACAATATATTGGAGGCTGAGACAATACTTACTGGTAGTAGTGATAATAATAATGATAGCAACATTGATGACCTTGATTTTTTACTTTTAGATAGAGAAGAAAAAATATCATCAGATAGAAAGGAGGATCAAAAAATGCCTATTGCATCTTTAATAGTAAAGTTCTCAGAAGTTAAGAGAATAAATAAGGATATAAATAAAATTTTGGGAAAAAAATTCTTCAATATATCCAGAATTATATATCTTATCTAGAATCTTCATGGCTGTACCGGCATCGCAAGTACAATAATTTTATAAAGATAAAATCTCAAGGATGATATTTAAGAAGATATTATGATTGTGCAATTGAATAAAACATTTAAAATATAAATTATTTCATTTGTAAATTAAGAATATGTGTATATTGAAGTATAATAATAAATGAATGAAAAAAATATCTTATTTTAAGTTATTATTTTTATGTTCCTTGAACCCGGACCCGAACCCTGTACCCGGGTCTTTTCAAATTTTATTCCTGTATCCGAACCCGGACCCTTTTTTTTTGTCGAAGGGTTCACATCCCTGCTTATAAATAAATCGAATCAATATGAAATATTATAATATGTAAAAATATATCAGAAAGCATTTATAATACCGGATTTTTGATCTGATTTCATATTCGATATATCGCAATTATCTAAAACTTCTTGGTAAACTTTTTGCTAATTTATAACAGATAATAAAAATTTAATAGTTTTTTTTTAAAAAAATCATTGAAATTATAATGCCTTACTTTTATAGGTAAACTTTTTGCTAATTTATAACAGATAATAAAAATTTAATAGTTTTTTTTTAAAAAAATCATTGCAATTATAATGCCTTACTTTTATAATTAAATATTGTGAATAAAACCTGAATATCTTGGTGCTTGGCTAGAAAGAGAAGAAGCCAAGAACTGGTCGTAGACGATGTGTGCTGACCAGCCATTAGCAAACTTATCATAAGTTTGGCTACCTCTTCATCCGTTGTATACCTTCCGCTTTTGTACTTGGAATTCATGAAGGTGTCAATCATGTCACCATCACTTTCTTAAATAGATTTATGAATGATTTTAAGGGCAGAAATATTGATAGATGCTTTTTAAATAAGATCAAAATGACTGCCGGAATCGATAATAATGTATTGATCCACGTCTCAACAAGAAAGTAATTGTAAACTTAGAGATTTGCCATGCAAATATATAACTTTAGCGTTTAGAGGCGTATTGATACCGACCTGATCTTATAGATATTAAGGTTAATATCAACCACAGCTGATCAGATTTTTAATAATAACATTATGGAAATATCTCTATAGAGAATAGAATAAACTAAAAATGTAATAAAATAAATATGCAAATAAGGGGTTCCAGTTTTAAAAAAGAATAATTTTTAAAAATCCATGATCCAATAATATTAACACTGTAGCATAAAATATCCGTTATTTTTATAAATCAGATCAGCAAATTTAAAGTTTTCGGTCGATAACCAATGTTCTAAAAATATGAAAGATCGGGCTGAATTCGATACTAAAAAATCAATACATCTCCCTAGATAACTCTTCGATAAAAATTATATTTTGGATTTAAAAAATAGATTATGTATTATAGTCCCTGCAATAATTTTAATTTATCAATATTTTATACTTAAAGAGTTTGAACATGATAGTTTAGTAAAATTCTTGAGCCTCAAGTATCTGCTTAGTTATATTTAAACTAGGCATATGCTTGGGCCTAATATGGGTTAGGGTTAGACTTATTAATAAATTTTCTGGCTTTTAAAAAATAAGGATATATTTGAATGGGAAATATTTGGAACATTTAATAAACCTTGATCAATCTCAGTCCCCACGTTATCTTCCTTTTCAGTATGAAATCCATTATTTAGTCGTTCTTTTACGAGTCTTCTTTTAGCTATTATGCCCAAGAATAGATTTTTGATTTTGAGATGAGCAGCATCTCTTTTTCTTAATATACAAAACAAATAGTGTATTAGTAATATATTTTGGAAGTTAGCATGGTGTGCGGCAGGACAAAATATTTTTTAGAGTTTAGCAGGGAAACAACTTGTGAAAATATTTTTAAGGGCCAGGACAGGATTGAATAAATCCATATAAAGTTTAGATAAAATTTATTAGGTTTTTCTTTTGCAAAACAACTTCTGTAAAAAATACTTTATAGCTTATTAGATTGGATAACTTAGGGCCAGCTGGGAAACATTTTTTGTGGACCAAGAAATCAAATTTATAAACTTTTAAAATTTATTTTATAAAAAAAAAGCTTTTTAATAAAAAATTTGAAATGCGGCCAAAACATATTTTCTAAATTTATGTAAATTCTTAAAACTTTTATTGTTTAACATTTAAGTTCTGTTTGAAACTTTATAAAAATATTTCAACAGAATAAGAAATATAAAACAAGTAATCAATCAATATTAATATTTGAATAATTGATTGCACAAGCAAACCTCAGTAATAATAAATCAAGAAAATATAATTCAGAATCTAAAAAACAACTCCCTAAATAAAATCTTGCCGAGCTTTGTGAAAAAAAGCTGGATATTTTATGAATGATAAATACAACTTAACAGATTAATTTAACTCAAGTGAGATGAAATAAAAAAATTTATATGAAATTATTTTATCTTATAAATAAAATCTTATTTTATATATAAAATAATAACTTTATATTATATATTAAACCAAAAATATTTTATACCTATATACCAGAGACCTGCAAGCCCGGCCCGGCCCTGGCCGTATTTTAAATTTTTTAAATATACCCGGGCCGGACCTAAAAAATTTTATCCGGGCCGGGCCTAAAAAAATTTTTTAAAATATATCCGGGCCGGGCCGTGCCTAAGATTTTTAAACCCGGGCCGGGCCTTAATATTTTTTATAAAAAATTTTACATTATGAGTTATTGGTTATAAGATTATATTATATTATAGTTATGATTAATATAATATTGGGTGATGGTTAACACTACCTAACACCCACAGATCGATCTAATTATTAATTTCCTGAAAGATACCGGAAAACTCCATTTTAAATTACTTAATATATTTTAATATCTAAAATTTCAGTGCTCCCAAATTGTGTTAGAAAACTTAGAAGTTAGACTTAGAACAGTATGTATAATTATTATAAATATATTTTAAATTACTTAATATATGTTATTATCTAGAATTGCAGTGCTCCACTAATCATTATCAAATTTTGTTAGAAAAGTTAGACTTAGAACAGTTGTGTTAGAAGAATAGTTTAGAAGTGGATATATCCCATAAACAGATTTAAGTAATAAAAAATTCTTTTGAATTATTTTCTTTAAATAAAAATGTACATTGATATTTTTTAGCTTCATATATTAGTTTATAAAATCTATTACAAATTAGATTGAATCTTTTTGTAAATAATATAAAATTTTAATAACATACTTTTTCTTATAACTATAATATTCAGTTTAAATTTATTATAATAAATAAATATAATAATTTCAATCTACATTATTTAATAAATATTGATATTAGATATTTATAATCAATGTAAGATATAAATAATTAATTAATATTTATTATCATTAGAATTAGTGATACTCAATCAATCAATTTTAAGCATTCAAGAAGCTAAAGTAAAAATTAATATTAAATATAAATCTTATAATTCATATCTAAATTTTTAGAATATTTCCAAAACAATCAATAAAAGGAATATCATGGCACAAAACACTAAAGATATAATTGACAAAATTAAAAATAATATTTATTCTTTTAAAAATACTAATAATACTTTAAAATCTGAAATTTGGTCTAAATTTAAAATAATAATAGATAATAATAATAAAAAAAATATTGGCTATGTGCAATGCATAAATTGTTCAAATTTATTATCTTATAATTATAACCATGGTACATCACATTTAAAAAGACATAAATGTGATGGTAAATCTATGAAAATTAATAATTTTTTTTTTACACCTGAAAAACCCACTTATAAATGTAATATGAAATATTTAAAACAAAAATTTATAGATCATTCCTTAACACTTTGCGCAAAAGATATTAGACCTTTCGAAATGATAGCTGGGAATGGGTTTCTTGAATTCAGCCAGGCTCTAGTCGATGTTGGGGCAACATATGGTAAAATAGATATCAAGTCATTAATTTCACATCCCACCACTCTATCACGCCACCTTAAAGAAAAATGTAATAAAATAAGAAGCATTTTGGTTGATACTATTGCCCCAGTAATCAAGAATCGATTTATGGCTGCTTCCACTGATATATGGTGCGATGACCATAAAAAGAACTCGTTTATAACAGTTAACATGCACTATATATCAGATGACTGGAAGTTAGTGAAGAGAAACCTATTTACCGCTAAATTTAAAGAAGTGTCTAAGACTAGCCAAGTAGTTAAGGATGAACTATTAAAAAATTTTCATAATTTTAGTTTTAACAATAACGATTTTATTAATATAATTTTTGTTACAGACCAAGGTAAAAATATTATAAAAGCATTGGAGTTAAATGAACGATTAAATTGTTCTTGTCATTTATTAAATACAATTTTAAGAAATTCATTTAACTCCAAATATTTGGAAAGTAATGCCCCATTAATAAAATCAACAATAGATAATACTAAAATATTAGTGGGGCATTTAAAACAAAGTAATAAATGCCAGCATTTAAAAGCCCTTTATCAAGATATAGAAGTCCGCTGGAACTCTAAGTACAATATGCTCAATTCTGTTTATTCTCAAAATGAAGAAATTAAAAAAGTTCTTCTAGAACATGGGGGATCGGAAAAGTATTATATTATAGACTTTCCGATCCTTCAGGATCTAGTCAACATTCTTGAGAATTTTAACAGAGCTATTGTTGAGTTACAGTCGGACTCTTGTACTCTTTTTAAAGTGGTAATATGGTATTATGAACTTCTTGAAGTTTGTAATACCTTTCAAAGCGAAAAAAGAGAAATAAAATTGATATTACTTAATATAAAGCATTTTTTAATTGAAAAATTTGTTTTACACAAGTATCATTTTATTTCTCTTTTTCTCTGTCCCAAATTCAAACAATTACGTATGTTGTCAGGGAGATCGCAAGATGGCGGAAAACTATATAAAAGATTATATTAAATCACAAGAGGCTCAGGAAGTAAATGAAATACCATCGACCAGTCAAATTACGACTGTTGTTAAACAAACTGAGTCGTTTTATGACAAATGGGGCGATGGTAATTCTGGTAATATCTCAATACCCGATGATGAATATTATAATTATATAAACAAAAAAACAGATGAAATATTTAAGGTGGATAATTTGTTAGAGTGGTGGGCTTCTCATCAAAGCGAATTCCCAATTTTAGCAAAATTGGCAAAACGGGTATTGGCTATTCCTGCTTCAAGTGCAAGCTGTGAGCGAAATTTTTCCACTACTGGAAGAATTCTTGAAGAAAGAAGAAGTAATCTTCAACCTGAAAAGGTAGATATGCTTCTCTTTCTTCATGATAATTTGTGAATTTTTAATATCTTTCTTGAGTATAGGGTTTCGTCAATCATGCTGGTTTTTTACTTTGCAAACTGTCAAATATTTATTGCATTTATTATATTTTACCTTGAGTCATGAAAGTTTTTTATTATTTTTTTTACAATATATTATATAATACAATTATCTTCTTTTGTTAAAAATTTATATTATTAAATAAATTATATTAATTTGTGCAATTTGATTATATTTTCAAAATACTATTTATTATACATGCATTTTTTTAAATAGCGATTTATTTTTACTTTATAAATTAAATAGTAAATTAAATACAATATATTATATTGTCAAAATATTTTACATTTTTATAAATTATATATTAGTTTTATTATTTTTAAATGCAATATAAAATATAGTATATGCTCAAAATATTATTACCATTTTTATGAATATTAGTTTTATTTTAAATGCAATATAAAATATAGTATATGCTCAAAATATCCATTTTTATAAATAACAGTTTTATAATTTTTATAAATTTAATATAATATTCTCAAAATATTAGCTTTTTACATGTATTTTTTAAATAAAAATTAAAAATCACAAATAGAATCTTTTATATTCAAAAATATTATTTGCACAAATTTTTTATAGTATCAATTTGTAATTAAATATCTGAATAAAATATGAAATATACTTATATCCGGGCCTTAAATTTTAAAATCCGGGCCGGGCCGTAAAAAATTTTTTAAAAAAATATCAGGGCCGGGCCGGGCCTTAAATTTTTTAATCAGGGCTGGGCCGGGCCGTAAAAAATTTTTTTAAAAAATATCCGGGCCGGGCTTAAAAATTTTAAAACCGGGCCGGGCCGTGCAAATGGTACCTCTGCAGGTCTCTGCTATATACATAGTGTGAAAACCAATTATTTTTTCTGTCACTTAAATATTATCTAAAATGGCTATTTAAATTATTTGGCCTTGTCTAGGTATTAGGCTCAGCCCAGGTTGAAAATTTTTTTAGTCAGACCTAGCTATGTTTTTTAAAAAATACAGTTTGACCCATACTCGGGCCTACAGGTCTCTGTATTATATACAGTTAAACCTGACTAATTTGGCCATTCTGGGACCAAAATTTTTTCTAATTTATCCAACTTTTGTAGTTAATAGGAATTTGATTGGAACTAAAATATTAATCAAATTAGGGAGTTTCCCGAATTATCAAGAGCCCAAATTAGACAAGCTGCAATTTATTCAATTACTTAAAATTTAAACATTTAAAGAAAATATTATATTAGTATCTTATTTTTTTATTTCCAAATTTTAAAATTTAAATTTCTAGAGCATATTTTTTGGATATTATGTTTGTAACAATTCTCAAAATGAATTCTTACCAATATTTTATCAAGTGTTGTAAAACATTTTGAAAATATGAAGATTAAAAATACATATAAAATTATGGTTGAAGCCATGATCGTTGGCTGTTCAACAATCGGGGAAAGGAGGGGGGGGGGTCTTCAGCGTTAGATGGTCCGAGATAGTCGGAGAGTAGGACTTGGGGACCGGACTTAGCGGGCACTTTGGTCATCGTACAAAAGGATTTTATGTAGAAAAATTGTTAATTTATTGAATCTCGACTTTTAGCCTTAACAATTTGGTATAATACAGTCCGACGAAAATAAAACAAAATTACAAAAACAAATCATAATTATTTAATGATCACGATTATATATTTTTTATTCTTATATACTAAAAATTTTATTTACAAAAAAAAATCCATCGACGTATTTCTAAAAGATTTTATCATATTGGCCATCCTTGAATAAAATAAAAAAAACAAGCTCTGTTTATAATTTACAATCATGTAAAACAAAGGAAAGAATAATACAGTTTTAATTTAAAAAAATATAATAACGATCTTTTTTTTTGCTTTGTTATAATTTACAAGTAAAGATTTATAAGGGACAAACAATGTGGAGAGGCTTTGAAAGAGGTAGTATTATAAGAGATTTTTAAGTAGAGAACAAAACAATAATATATGAAAAAAATATAATGCAGAAGATTAATATCTATTATTAATTAAAAATCTCTAATATTTAGAGATGTTTTTGTTCATGGAATTGAAATTTAGTTAAATTTATGATATATGGGTCATTCCATATCAAATTTAAATCACATAGCTATCTGGACCCCTTGGGATTTGGGTGAATTTATATACTAACTAAGGTTTTTTATATGTGGCAATCCATTCAAACCAATTCTAAAGAAATCTTTATAAGAATGATTTTTATAAGATTTTAAGCAAATATCCAGGACCAATCTATTATCTGTATAAAAATTTTCTTGGAAAGTTTCGTTTATGGTCAAAAAGGTCATCATTATTAATGTTGTCTATATATATATACCTTGTAAGATATAATATAATTATTTAATATTTGACCTTTTAAGTTTATATAATATTAAAACCTACAATATTCAAATAATATGATATTACAAATACAATAATCTTTATAATATAAGATATAATAAAATAACATCTTATTTTCCCCCAAGATCAAGTTCATTTATTAATCTTTTCGTTTATTTTTGTTCATTTGTTGAATATCGTATTTTGGACTGAATTCTTTATTGTTGACTTGTTTGCATTTCCTAATATTCAATCTTCTAAATTTATTTGTTTATTTATTATTAGGGATTCAAACTTTTCTTTTCTTCCAAATTGTAAAATAATTTAGCTTGTTGTAATTTTTCCTTTCCTTCCAAGTTATAAGATATTTTTGCTTGTTGCTTTATTACTATTTTCAATTATATCTTTATTTTTATATTGGATTTTTGTGATAAAACATCTGCATTATACTGCTAAGACCTACCTTATTATTTATATTGTAGTCATAAATTGATATGCCCATTGCAACAATCTTGTTTATTTTCTTATATTTTTATTTGCAATTTATTATCCATTTATATTAGCTTTTGCTTCCTTGTCTAGTGTAGAATAATTCATTCTAGTATCTTGTAATGCTTCTGAGTCCTATGCTATTGTACATACGCGATTGGCAATTCATTTCCATTATTATATTTTTTTAGTTAGATGCATCTGTTTCTAATATAAACTCGAAGTTCTGTTTATAAATGCTTTGTTAACTTTTAATCCTACATTTTTAATTTTTTAAATGCTATGTATCATTTTTTCTATTAATAATAAAATTGTCCAAATAAATTGATTCTTTACAATCAGCCAGTAAATTGTCCATATACCATTTAAATATTTTTGGTGTTGTGATTATACCAAATTATAATTATAAATAGTGGTAGTATCCATTAGCTGATAATATAATCATTAATTTCTATGATCATTAATATAAATTTATAAATATGTGTCTTTTACATCTAATGTTGTATATTTATTTCCATTTGCATATTTCTACGATTAATTTAATTCCATGATGCCTCTATTCTAAATTCTAATCAATTCTATGTGGCCTATATTCTAAGATTTTAAGTTATATCAATTTTATGTGGTCTATATCCTAAGATTCCCAAACAAATTATAAATTCCAAAATATAAATTCTGAACAACTTCAAATAGCATGATAATGATTAAAACGATAAGATGGTCTTCTCATGTTATTATTATCTTCGTGTATTAATTATCATTTCGATAAAGTCGGTTATCATTATTATTATATTTTATAATACTTGATTTTTTATAACATTTTCATATTGTATATCTGCCCATATTGTCAGTAAATAGTTTTTTTTCATCAAAATATATAATTTTTATACAATTCTATCTAATTATTTACTTGACCCATAACCCATATACTTTACCTGTCACCAATTATATTCTATATTTTAAAACGTATATGGTTAAATTGGTCATTTTTGTTATAAAATGTTGTATATTATATATTTTGAAGGTAAAATATATTTATTCGACTCCGTTGGCCTTTTAGTTTATTTATATAATATTAAAACCTATAATATTCAAAATATTGTATTACAAATATGATAACCTACATATAATAGAAAGGTTTTCCTTTCTTTCTTTTTATGTAAAAGATAGATAAAACTACTAAAAAAAACAAGGGCATATCCAAAAAGATAGCATATGTAATTAATTCTAATATTAATTAAAAATTTTATATTTTATAAAAAAATTCTGAGATTAAAAATATATTGGGAAATACAGAATATTTGTAATACTGTTTTAAAATAATTTAATGTTAATAAAAATTAAAATATTGTATAAATATGTTTTGTAGATTCTTTACGATTATAAAAATATTTAAATAATATAAAAAAAATAATTGCAAATTATGCTAACAATTTTTACTAAGAAAACAAAAATTGGCATTCCAGCTTTTTTTAAACAGAGATAGAATGGTTTTTAGTGTTGTTAAACGGCTCATTTTGAGCCGATTTTAAAAACGGCTAACTCAATATTTCATCCAGAAAAATATTACGCAAGCCTGAAGATTTTGCTCATAGAAGGAACAAGGTCTAGATATATAATCGAAATCTCCAGGCTTAGGCAATATTTTTCTGGTTAAAATATTGATATAGCCGTATTAAAAAATCGGCTCAAAATGAGCTATTTAACAACATTAATGGTTTTAATAACTTTTGCTTAAAATTTTAAAAAAATTGGAGAATAAATATTCTTTTTCAAACTTTAGAAAGATTAAAATATTTTTAGATATTATATTAATTATTTATAATTCTGCAATTTTTTTTAGTAAATATTTATTAAATGACAATCAATCACTGTAAAGGTTATTTTTCAACTTTGACCCTTGATATCTCCATAAATAAAAAGGATAGGATGCTAAAATTTGAGCATTTTAGTTTTGTTAAATTCACCCAAATCCCAAGGGTGAAATAACACATATATGGTATCATTTTTTTTTATTTTAATTTGCCTTTACCATCTTATATCCCTGACAACATACCTGTTATTAAAATTTTATTAATTTTCATGCATGTTTTATAGGGAATTTTGGCATTTTGGACAGGTTCTATTTATGTCAAGATTTTAAAAAAATTAAAACTGTAAGCAAAATTAGAAAAAAAATTTTCCAAGTTTTGGATATAACTTTACAAAAATATTCTTTTTTGAAAAAGACTAAAAGGTATAAAAATTTTAGTGAAATTTATTAATTAAATATAAAGAATGGAGATTTAATTCATATGGATAATCAATGCTTTTTCAGATTTTATTATTTATATTTTTTAAAAATTATTTTAATGAATAATCCAATGTTTATAATATTTTAAGAATATTTAAATTGAAAATATGTAATATAATAAAAATAACTTAAAAGCAGGAAAAGGCATCCATTCTGGAAACAGCCAGGCTTCAATACAAAAGCCTCCATCTAAATCAGTATACCATTTTGCTACTTCTTCAGTTAATGCTTCTCTTGCTTCTTTACCTTATTCGATTTGTTGCATTAAATATTTCTTATTTTAAATTTGCTTCACATAAAATTATATTTTAGTTAATAAAATAAAAAATAATAAATATAATACCCATTAAGCATGCTGAAGAGGTAAAAATAATCAATTCTGCCATTGTTTCTAGAATATTAAGTTTGAAAGATTGATCATCAATGGTTTTATGATTGATCATTAATCTTTGGATAAAATCCAATGTTTCATTTTCAATGATAGGCACATGAATCCTATAACGTGCCTGAATTAATCCATTTTTTATCATCTTTTTTTGCTCCATAAAGATCTGATATAATATTAAAAACAATTATAACAAATATTATACATTGTGAGGTACATCATAGATAACCCCAGATCCAAACACAGGAGTTACAAGACTGCTATATACTTCTTCTGCATTCAAATCTTCATTTTTGCTATTAAAAAAACAGGCAATAGCTTCTGTATTACAAAGATAGGTAAATTTTTTCCCAAGCATTGTAAAACTAAAAACTGGACCATACTAGGTATATGAAAATGATAAAAAGAAAAATTATAACTGTCATACCTCTTGGTAAGCTTTTAATAAAAAATTTATAGGATCTTTACCAAAATCAAACATGTGCCCAAAATAGGGTAGATTAGAAGGAATAACAGGAGGTTCTTTAGCATTCTAAAAAGGAGTTCTAATTAAGTTACAACTATTAGCATTTTACGTATTTTTGATTGTCAACCTTTTTATAAAAATATATGAAGACAATTGATAACAACAACACTAAACATGAAATAATGTTGTTAAAGAATATTTCTAAAAATTGCATAAATAATTATAAAGAGATTAACTCTTTTGCTATAAATGTGACATGATGTCACACCAAGTCAAACATTTACAAAATAAATAAAATTTGCCAAAATCCAGGATCACTTTTTGTTAAATGCAATAGCGTTATTAAAGGTGGGGCATAGACCTAGGCTCTTAAAACTTTGGAGGGTCGCCTGAAAAATATTGCGTTTATTTCGATATGGTCCTTATTCTAGTGCTAATTCTAAAAAGAATTACTTATTGTTAGAGATTAGTAACAAATTGTGCTTACTTGATCAATTTACATATTATAATATTATATTACTTTTTCTTTTTATTATTACTTGTACAAACCGAATCAATTTATATTACTTTTTACAAAATGTTTTACTAGAGGCTGTAATTTAAATATATTTATATATAAATATCGCGTAAAGATTACAAAAAGAAAAAGTTTTATAACACAATAAAAGACATATTATATAATTCATTCAGAATCTATATTCTTTTTAACTACTGCATTCAGAGTCAATATTCTACATAGAAGTGGCGTCGCTAGGGGGGGGGCGCAGGGGCTCGAGCCCCCTGTAAAATTTGAATGGCCCCCTGAAGCAAAAATTTTTTTTAATGACTCCTTAATATCCTCTTGAACAAAAATAAATATTTTTAATTGCTCCCTGAACAATTTCTTTTATAATTCTTTGAGTAATATATAGATTTAATTTTATTATTTAAAAATTAATAAGACTATCTAAATCTTTATTAGATGAATACTATTTTAATTATTATATTAGATTAATATATATAAATTATATTTTCACTATATCAGCTTGCGACCAATGATATAGCGACCAAATTCTATGTTGAAAATATATCAATATCACTCACTAATATTAATTTAACATTAACAGTTGAATCTTAATTGACTTTTATTATTTAAATTATTATATAACCTTAATTAAATTAATATAATCATTTATTAATTAATAATTAACAAATATAATTGCAATTAGCCCAAAATCAACTATATTATTGATTTTTAAATTTAATTATCATGTCTCTTTCTAAAATTATTTTCAAGGTCCAAATCCAAATAAGTTAAAAGATTTATTTATAAAAAGTAAGTAGACATAAAGTTTATAATCCTCTATTATATATAATTATTTATAAAATATTAGGTAAAATGCCACTTTTGTAGACGAATTTGTATATAATATATTACAGTTAATATTTTTAAAATTTTACTAATCAATGCTTTTAATAAATATAAGTAAGAATTTACATTCAACTATTTAACTCCATCTAAATATTTAAAATATTATTATAATTAAATATCTTATTCAATGGATGTAATAAATTAGATATCTTTTCTTCTCTTTTTTTACGTATTTTTAGGAAAGCTATTTTTTTCTTCTTTGAAAAACAGTTTTGAGTTAAATTTTTAATACGAATATATTTTAGATATTATTATAAACTTCTATTATTTTAAGATATAATATACCAACTAGAGATGGTGCGACAATAATATATAACATTTTAATTGCTTTCATGATATCACTCTGGCTCTTATTTTATAGTTACAAAATGTTACATTTCTAATATGTCATCCTTGCCGTGTAATAACTCAAAGCTTCAATATATTTGCATAATTTCTTCTAAAGATTTTTAGTGTTTTTGTTCCATCAATTCTAACATAATAAATTCTGATATGGGTTGCCATCGTGAGTGTCATGTTATGACTGTAAATTAACCAGCATCTATTATTTGTGTGGGCATGTAATTTAAGATTATTACTACAGCTGCTGAGAGCATATGATTGCATATTTTAGATATGCAATAATGGTCAACTGTGTAGTAGTTTATATATCATTAAAAATGGAAGATAATCTTTTAGAAATTTAATATCTCACAATAATTTTCCCGATTACTTATCTAGCTTCCATCATATCATCTAAGAGGAAGCTCTAACTACCATATAGTTTATGATTTTGATTGGTCGTTTATATTCTCTTCTTTAAGAATTGTTATTTTGGTAAGGCCTATAAATTTTTTCTTATTTGTCCATTCTATAAAACATTGTCTAAAATGGTAACAGAATATTAGTTTCATGACCTTTTGTCAATGTAAGTTGCTAAGAATTATATAGCCTTATGTGGTTTTTAAAAACCATTTTCAATTTAGGCATATGTATGAATTAATTAACCTTTTTTATCACTAGTAATTCTTTAGACGCAAATTTTTTTATATCAACCATCGAAAATATTTTATACTGTAATAAATAGATTTTGTATTAAAAAATATTATTTTTAAATATGTCTTGTATTGTTTTAATTTATATGTTAGTTTATTTTATATGCGAAATATTAAATGACAAAATATGAAATTCAGAATAATTGTTTAGAGTTAAAAAAAATTAAAAAAGTATAATATATTAATATAAAACCCGACCGATGGCCGGGTAAAAGCGGGCCGAACGCCCCCCCCCCCATAAATTTTTTTTAGTTGAGCCCCCTGAGATTGTAAAGGCTAGCGACGCCCCTGCTACATAGACTAATCCCCATTTACAGGCTAATTTCCCTCAATACCGACTGATAGAGAGACCATAGCTATTCTCAGGGCAAGACTTCTACCGTTGTATTACTTATTTTGCTCATTTTAGATAGAATTATTTGATAATGTTAAAAAAAACTATAAATAAAAAAACTGATGACAACACTGGCTATGTCTTTGTGGTTTAATTGCTATAGCCAGCGCTAAATAAGAGGGAGTGGTAAGAACAATTTGCTTCAATTTTTTGAAAGAATAGGTGGGGAGTGGGTTGTGGGGTAATATATGGATTGCTTTAATATTTATTCTTTGACAAATACTTATTATTTATTAATTCATCAATCAGTTTTGCCAGTCACCAAAAACCGAGTATAAACTAAATAAAAACAATGAAGTTGCTGATTAGACTATCTTTATGGGATTTTGAATCGCGATTTAATAATCAGTTACATCTAAGTGAATAAGAGTATTCTTAGGGTTGTTAAATAGTCTAGTTTTTACAAATTTGAACTAAAGTTGGAGTCGCAAAACTCCTTTCAAATGAGCGACTCAATAAGCCACATGAGTTGGCTTGATGAGCCGGCTTCAGAGTAGGCTCAAAGTCGACTAAGGAATTGGTTTTGAATTGGGCTATTATTATTATTTGCTCCACGATGTTAACATTAATAAAATTTAACCACTTTGGTTCGGGAATTTTTAAACTAGAAATGACTTAAATGTTTTATTTTAATAATATGACCATGTTATTATTAATATTACCTAATCGACATTTCGCTGGTAGATTCCAAACCTTTGTGCCATCTATGACTACAATCTTAAGGCTTGCGTAATAGCTTTCTAGGTAAAATGTTGAGTTAGTCGTTTATAAAAATTGGCTCAAATTTAGCCGTTTAATGTTATTGCCCAAATGATCTATTTGCCAATATTGGTTTTATTTGGAGAATACAATAATAGAACCTCTTAAAATCTTGGAAAATCCCTAGTTCTATTAGAAAACATAAAGCTGAAAAGTACTATATAAAAAAGTATCTCAAAAGAAATTGGGCAAAAAGCTCCATTAATTATATTTTATTTTAAATTAAAATTCACAAAACTTATTTATAGGTGTATTTTTAATATAAAGTTAAGGAAATTATTTTTATAATATTAACTTTTTAAACTAAATTTGGAGTTATTTTATATTATATTAGAAATTAGTTACTGATAGGGTTTAGGTATGTAATTTTAACACTAAAATTAAAAAATAAGAGTGCAAATTTTATTTTTATTGTAACATTATAAGCGTAATATAAATTGAATGATATAATAACGATAATGAATATTATATAAAAACGAATTAAATTATATCCAAAAATTATCCGTTAATGTTTAAATATTGATATCTCAAGAATTAAGGGAAAGACATTCCCTTTGAAGATGTACGATCCTTTTTATAGAGTTGAAAGGTTTGAGTACCATTGTAAAATATAAAAAATATAGCTGAATTTAAATAAAAAACAGATGATAGATTTAATTAAGGGTTGAAGATTGAAATAAAATAACAAAATTTATATTTTCCTTTATTCTTCTCCATTAATTATAGAATAAAAAATTATAAAGTAAAAAAATACTAAATTAACATTATAAAAGATTATAGTAAAAACTTAAATTAAAAAAAAGAAACTAAAATAAAATTAAAAAAGAATTCTTTCCAAAAATTGAAAAGTGAATTATATCCACAAAATCTCAAATATTTATCCTTCCCTTAATCCTCTCTTACATAGTCTATAATATGAAATTAAGTAATATTGTAATAATTCTTCTAATTTTCTATATAACATTTTAGTCTAAAATCTGATACTACAACACCTTTTTTTTGTCAAGGTAACAACAACTCTTTCACTTACCGCTGATATTTTCTATTGGGACAAGAAAACCAGTTGCCATCGTTACGAAAATCTGACAATTTGCATTGCCACCCCACCAAACTAAGACGTTTGCTGTGGCTATAGCAACTGTTTCTCCTATATACTTTTCTAGTTCCTCTTCCGCGGGTTTAGTAGTATCAAATGCGTCCCGTCCGTCTTAATTCATTTAAAATATGATTTTAATTGGTCATAATATGCCAATATATTAACAAAAGAGTTTTTTTTTGATACGTGGGTTCAAGAAACTACATACATAATTTGAGAATGCATTCATGTGATCTGTGTAATATAATATATTAATATAAAAATGAATACAAATTAATTATTAAAATTAATATGAAAAGCAGAATAAAAATTTAAAACCTGCATATATTTTACATTTGTCCAACATGTCACTCGCTGCTAGCTTATTCTCACAGTGTATCATAGTAAGCTCTAAAGTTTTGGAAATACTTTCAAAGTACAATACAGCTAATCCTTTAGTTGTAAGAGCTAATCTCACAAGTGATCCTGTAAAAGGGATGTAGTAACGCCTCTAGTTTCTTTAAGAATTTTGAATCTTCGTTGTTTATAACAACTACATTTTCTACATAA